ATCCCTGATCCACTGCAAACTACGGCTGATGTTTGGCAACCGAGCAGCACACCTGTACCTATGAACCATGTGCTGCTACTTGCGTGTTTTTCAACACTTTTAGCTGTGTGACAGAACTAGGAGCATTGCAAAGAGTGAAGTGAAGGAGCCAAGTCCATAAAAATGTGAAGTTTGCCAGTTTTGTTGCTCACAGAAACCTTTTTTCTTTTAAGTTCCATAATGCGGATTGAAATTTAATTGGAGCTAAACATGGTTGGAGGCGGACTTTTTCTCTGGTAGGAAACTGGTGATCTGTGAAGAATGTCATATCTGGAATTTTTCCATATAAATGGTTCCTGCTTGTTCCCGTTTTTCGTCTTGTTTCTAGAGTATGTGTTTCCCCACCCCAACCACTTTTTAAACTAGAAACTTGTCTTTCTATATGTCAATGTACTTGTCAGTAACACATAGAAAGAAGAGCAAGTGTTAGCATGGATTACTCAAACTGTTAGTAGTCCACTTCTGTTTGTGAGAACGCATTTCCTTTTGCTTATCTATAGTTACACCAAACAAAACTTCTAAGAAATAGAAGTATTTCTGTGGCTGAAACAAACACATTTTTCATTCTGCTTTCTGCATTGATTGGAGACTGAGATTCAGTTGCATTCTGGTAGAAGAACAATTTACGTTCAAGCCGTTATAATCTAAAGGCATAAGTGTATCTTTTGCATAATATTATTCTTGTAGTTGACTAGGTAATATTTCTAATGCCTGAAGTGTTAATGATTCTTTGAAGAGAGTATTTTTGCTGGAGGCTTTCCTGTTACTGTCTGTATAGTTGCTGGACCTGGAGATTGTAGTTGCATTTTTCTAGATGTATGCAGATTTCTTGTTCAGCAACAAGCACTGTCATGCTTGGAGAATTTGCGTTCTTACCCCTGAGCTTGGCTCCATTGCTGCCAGAGGGAGAGATTCAAGAAACCATCTACGGTTAATTTCTACTTTCTCTGGGTTCTGCTGTGAATGATTATGTTAGTGATAATTACTTCTGTGAACTTCATAAGAAAATACTGGGAGATTATCGGAGGTAGTTCTAGTCAGGCAGATATCCTTAATTATGCTAGTGACCTTATTTATATACTGGTCAATAAATGTGAAGTCTATAAGATAACATAAAAGCTTTAATTTTGGTCTGAATATTTTCACTGGTTATCAAGAGAAAAAGCATAGCTTTTTCCTCAGGACTGACTTGTCCCAAACCATCTGAATAAAACACTACATTGTTCCTTGGCCGTGAGAGCAGTGGGCATATATGGTCTGGGCTGGTCACTGTTATAGGCTCTTCTTTAATATTTATATAGCATCTCTGCCTACACGGGCTTCTGTTCAGTGTCTGGTTTAAGTAATTGAAATAGATTATTAAATTCCAGATACAGAGAAAGAGGAAAAAACCTAGCAGTCACACTGTCACTGGGGAAGGCATTTTCTTTTAAGTGTAATACATTTAAATGTCTCACTGGCATGATACCAATCTTCATTATGTTTCAAAGGCAAGTACAGAAAACAAGTGGGACAGCAATATAAAGCTGTGTTGTGAAAGTTATCTTTCTTAACTGGCGGAGACAGACACCTGCCTTTGAATGCTGGAAGTTCTATTGTTCTGCTTTTTAGAAAACAGCTTCAGAAGCTGACACAATAACATTAGGGCAAAATTTTTGTTACTAACTTGACTGAAGCACTAGATATCACTAGCGCAGAGATGTATGTTTTTAATTTTTAACTTGTCTTAAGTAACCTTTGTAATTAACTTAAATGTAGTTGAGATTTCAGCCTACACATATGTTGCAGCTTCATTTATTGCTTCAGTGTAGTTCAGAATAAAGCGTTGTAATTCTTCATAATAAAATAACCTTGTAGGTTTTTACAGTCCAGTGCAGTTCCCTGTTATCGGTCAGCTATGTTGTCAGTAATATAAATGGAGAATAGGTTTAGTGATCTTTTATAACACAAGCCAATATGAGCAATTATGTTTAGACACCAGAACTGTTCTATTCTTTAGTTTCTATCTCTCATTTCTTCCAAAATCTGGATGGATTACAGCCAGTTTCACACCAGCCACTACATGTTTTCTTCCCAGGATATTTTTGCACCTTATTTAAAGTGAGATTTGAGGCTTGTGCAATATTAACTCCTTTCCCAAGCCCTGCAGAAGACCCTGCAAAAGGTCCACTGCCTTAGTCTGCGCTAAGTGCAGACATTTCTCTTCAAAGGAAAAACTCTGAGGCCAATAATTAGTTGGAAAAATTCACTAACCTCTTTGTATTGGGCAGCATAGTTCCAGTAAATCTGTGTAAGAGGCTGAGACCTAGGGTGACAGTTTCTTGATATTTACAAAATCTGTTGGTATGGGAGATTACAGGCAGATGAGAGTGAGAAGATTTGAGAGACTGCCAGCATGCAAATGGGACAGCCTAGTGGGGGACACTGATTCCTTCCTTCGACTATCTGTGGCGCACCCATTGCAGAAATGGCTTGGCTACATGCAGAGCAATTTCTGAACTGGCTCACTTTGCAGCCCAGATTATTACAGTACACTGGCATGGATTTTAGGTTACTATGAAATTGCTGTTTAGGTGGATCACTGGTGGTTCATGAACAGCTGGCATGGACTGGAACTTCTCTAGCAGTGGTTGCTTAGGAATAGGAGCTCTTCGCCTCACGAGTCTTCTGAGAAGGATATAGATTTGTCTTGGGTGGGTATATGGTAAGGTTTATTTTCCTTGCTTCATTTCACTGTGTAGTAAGTCACAGGTGACATACTAAAGCTGGTGTACTGGTGACAAAAGCTATACCTAACTTGGTCAAATTATATGTACAGTTTAATTGTATGCTCTTCAAGAGACTCTTAGTGGGTGTGTAAGGCAGTGGTAGTTAGCAACTGTTTTTTATGTTAAGGTATCACTAAGGCTGTGGTTTGCTGCTTCTGTTCCCACTTAACTTTGAAGGAATCTCATTATATTCCCACAGTAACTTTTTGAAGCATGTGTGGATTTTAATTAAAATTTTACTTTCCCTGAATACTTACTTGATCTGTTAACCGAACATCTCATTTGAATCGAACTGGAACAGATCGCGTGGTTTATTTCAGTTGACAGCACTTAATCTAGATTAATTTGTACTGTTCAGCATTTCACTGATGGAAAATAAAAGGTAACATTGTAGGCATACCAGAGTTTGGCTACAGCGTAAAAATCAAAGAACTAAGGTTTCCCAAGCACGCGCAAGTACTGTATTACAGAAAGGTCACTGTTTGTTCAAGCTTTGAAGTATGACATCATATATGATGCATGACCTTTGGAAAACACACAAAAATTTTGTGGAAAGAATGGATATTTTAAAACTTGCGTTAACTGTATTTCATGTAGGTGTAGTTATATATGTTAGCGCAAATGTACCAGTTAGGTCTCAAGAGCTAGCAACGCTCTTTGCTTTTCTTACATGTAAGCCTTGCCTGTTTGTGTATCTGTCTCTGTTGCTGTTACTTTCCCATGTAGCTTGAGACTCTGCAATAAGATTATCTGAAAAGGAACTCGTAAGAGGGCTGTGCTCAGATTTGTCTCTGAATTCAGTTTTACTGATCAATAGTCTGTTTTGGATTTGGATTTCACATCTAAATCTCTTCCTACCAACTTTCCTCTCTTACCGTAGAACTTGCATTTCAGAAAACTGATCCATCCTGCAGTGTAAACTTTGTGATTTGTTGTACATAAAAACGCATCTTATTTTGGACAAAAAAGATGGAAGAGAGAATCCCATCATCAAGCCACAACCTAAATTGATCTTCTGTCTGAATCCTTTGCCCACCAGTTCTTGGTTTGAAATTAAATTTTAAGGAATTAAAGAATTTAAGATTTGGACAAGTATGTTTTGGCTATCACAGAATCACAGAATGGTTGAGGCTGGAAGGGACTTTTGGAGGCACCTCTTTTCCAACCCCCCTGCTTAAATGCCGGTCAATGCAGGTCAGGTTGCCCCAGACCGTGTCTGGATGGCTTAAACAATATAAATAATATACGGATATAAGAATATAAACAATTAATCCTCATGCTCTCAAGTCTTTTTAAAACTACTTTTGTAATTAAATAAATACTTACATGTCTTAGGAAGGTGTTTCCGAGACTGAAATTTTGCAGATAATTTAGAACAGATTTTCATTTAAGTAAGTAACACTTTCTAAAGCTATAAGTATGCATGATGATGTATGGTGTTACCATGTACCTTAGAAGTCTAGATAAATTTCTTATGGAATATACTTTTCTTAAGATAATTATGCTACTTATTTATTGTCAGCTTGTCCTGAGTGGGTGTGGGTGTGTATGTATGTATGAGTCTATTACGATTATACATTATTATCTCTTCCACACACACAAATGTATTAGTGTAATTTGTGAATTCACATGTGTGTGTATATATAGAAAATAAAAAATGACAGACATCCTCTTTCGTGGTTTGCTAATAACATAATGAACATCTTATCAAAGGAAAAAAGTCAGTGGCTCTTATTTGATATAAAGAATTTGTGCTTAGGTACATACAGGTAACACACTGCTTTTGAAGGTTGCATAGATACAGAAGATACATGGCCCCATGCTAACTTGTGTGCATGTGTATATGTATTTTTCAACTTTTTTTTCCTGTTTTTTTCACTCAGTAGTTTTTTGTGGTTCTTCCTTCTGGAAGCAAGCATGAGCTGTCAATAAGCATAGCTTTTCTGGCTCAGTGTGAGAAGCACAACATAGAAAATGCCTCAGTCAAACACTTGCTAAGTGAAGGAAAAATGTGAAATTAATGTCTGCTTGTGTTACTATTTTGTAATACTTACTGCTGATAATACCAGATTCACTCTGCAATTTATGTTAACATGCTTAATATTTTTGATGAAGCAAACATCCCTGTTATGTTTTTACGTATTTCTTGCATGAGACATCATTAGTATTGTTGAAACTTCTGTTTTTATTTAGGTTTATGAGTTAGATGGCATCCCCTTGATCCTGGACAACTGCAGCATTGATGACAACAATCCTTGTATCCTTTAAAAAGAATTCTAATTACTGAATATGACTCATAAGAAAAGGTGTGGGTGTTTAATATATTTATGCCAGCATCGTTTTCACTTGGTACCTAAGTCTAACTGGCCTCATGAGTTTCTAGGTTGTGTTTAAACGCTTGGTTCAGAAGTGAGCAAACTCATAAATATGCTTTCATGAACTGGATTCTAAGTAAGTTGAACTGTGGTTATATTCTGTTTCCTAAAATAATAAATATTACTTCTTTACAAATGTCAATTCAAAGAGCATACTGTGATAGAAATCTGAATTAAGACTATGTTTGGTCATTGTATCAGATCTTGGAGCTTTTGCTTCAACTGAAATCTATTCAGTAGACTGAAATAAGTACCCCATCAATTCTGTATGCTTATTAGATCTGACTGCAGAACTTATTCTAAGCACAGAGACAAGGCTAGCAAGCTGCAATGAAAATGTGTGTAATTGAGAGAATTAATGATGCAGATTACTGAAGTTTTGGGGAGATTTTAATATAAATGGGATTGTGCTTCATATTTGGGATTTTTTTCCTGGGGTTTAAGAGCAGAGACTTTTCAAGATAGATTGCTGTTAGAGGGAAATAACTTCATATTGAAGATAAACAGTTGTTAAAGCAGACTTACCCATCTCGTCATGAACTGCATAGTAATCCTGCTGGTGTGTTCAGTGGGTGAGCTATTATTTTCTGTCATCTAACCATTAGTTCCTTGTAAGTTTCTGATAAGTGCATCTGGAAATCAAATGCCTTTCCTGTCTAGAGTAATGTCAGCTTTCTTATACTGAACACGTGAAACAGGTTTTTTTAAATCAATTTGTCAGAAAAAGCTCACTTTTTAACATGTATCTTAAAAACAAAAAGAAGTTGTGAAAATGTTACATATTCTCATAATTGTGTGGTGTAGAACTTCATCTACATATAAATATATCTTAAAAGGATGAAATAATGTAGGGACAGGTGATAGAAAAATGTTAACAAGCTGGGTGGAGGAGCCATGGGTGGTAAGTATCCTGTGAGTTGCTTTCTATGCAAGGTTTTTACATTCATCATTGTTCCTGTAGTTGGAGACCTGACAGTGTGTCTCTTGACAGCGCACCAAGTAGCAGAGTTGTACTTCCATGGTCCGATTCTGGTAAGAGGCACTGCTGGATGCGATAGGAAGGGCCCAGAAAGTTACCTTTCCCTAAGCAGAAGTGCAGCCCTGAGAAAATGTAGTAAGGAGTTTTGATCCCGAGTTACTCTTCCTTTGCTGGAAAGCCCAGCTGTGCAACGACTTTCAGAATTTATTTCTAGGATTAGACCTTCATTTTAGCTGTTAGTAAAAGAGGATAAAGTTTGAGGCCTTCAAAGGGCAGGGTTGTAATTTACGATCTTGAATGAAATGAAAATAAAATACCATGGGAGCCTTTACTGCATTTTGGGCAATGTGGAACTTCTTACACCTTTTGATACAGGCTGACGTTTTATGGTTGAACTATAAACTTCTTACCAGAAGATAAAACTTTGCTTACTTGGTTTTAAAGACTTACTAGACACCTCTTAATATGAGCTTTCACCACTGATCCATAGTGTACGGTATTCAGGTATATAAAAAGTAGTAGTACTTGGGCAGAGGGGGGACCAACCTGCTGTGATGAAGTTTGCTGCGTCAGCTTTTGGAGCACAGCTTCTGGCTACTACTCTGTTTGTCGTTTTGACCTAGAGCTATTCCAGGTACTCTTGTGCTATATGAAGTTAATGCTCCCCTGCTTCTCTCCTGCCTCTAACGTTCCTCATATGCTGCATTCTCAGCATGTCTTGTGCAAGGAAGCAGAAGAGGAGTTTGCAGTTTGTATCTGTCTCTACTTTCATCTGCTTTGCAGCATATTCTGCTACTTCTAGACACCACAAACCAAGTCCTTAGTAGCATGTAGGTGCCTGACTCCATTGCATAACATTCCTCTGAAGAGATTCGTCTGTTTCTTTCCTCCCTCTATGCACCCAGTCCTGTCTGGCACAAATCCATTTTGTGATGCTTGTAAACCAGAGCAATGCTCTTACTAAGATTTGAAAGCCTGCTTGCTTAAAATTGAAACATCCTAAAATTGCCTGCATCTGTGATCCAGAGTGAATATATTTTGTCTCTTTTCAAGGAAGATTAATGAAAAGGAAGTATTTAGGCAGCTCTTGAGCTGCGTGTTGAGAGAGGTGCCGAAATTCGAATATGATCACTCAGTGGTGCTGCAGTTTGCCAAGGTGATGTAAAAAGCTGCGAGGGACAGCTTGGTGTAGATCTTCAGCCAGGGTTCCTTTGGGGAGTCATGTCCAGAAACTTCTCTTTACATTCTTGTTTCTAATGCCTGTTTTTGTGGTTTCAGGCTGTGTTACTCGGATTTCTCCTTGGATAAAGCTGACTGGAAAAAGTTTCATCCAAATTCCTTTTATATAAGAACTTCTTAGATTTCTTAGTAAAGTCTTCGTAGATGCACATTTTTGTTTGAGCTTTATCTGTTTCGGAGACACCCAAGCTCTACAGTTAAGATGTTGTTATGTTTTCTACTGAAACCAGAGTTGATATACTGATTTTCTACATTTTAGTAACTAAGTTCTGCCTCCAAATTACACGTACAAAATTTTCCAAAGAAAAATGTAACTTTTGTGGTAAAAATGATGGGATTTTTTTTCTGGACGGAAAGAAAAATAATTTCCCTGAAGTATGCAATTCATCAGGAGAAGCTGGACTGCCATGTTAGATGTTAAAAGAGCTCTTTATTACCTTTGAGAGGAGAAATCCTTTGATAAATCTTTTTATTTGTAGCGTATGGAAGCATACTGAAAGAGGAAATGGGTCTGCTCTTATCCTAAAATAAATTCCTTTGTAAACCTGTCATTACCTTAAAATTGCATCCTTTGAGATCCTGAACAGTGCGTGAAAATATCAGGAGGTTCATCGTTTTTGAGATTGCTAGCTGAAGTTCAGCTGACATGTTTGCATTGCTTTAGCTTTTTAGATTTGAATTCATCTTTCAGTGCCCAGTTCGGGAGAACTGTTATCTTGTCTAATTACATCTCAGGCAGACTTGTATCTTTTACATTTATACTAACAAATAGTCCTTTTTCCTTCAGGATATTTCATGAGTAAAAGCAACAAAAAAACCTCGTTAGTAACAGACATGAAGATGATTATGGACAGTTAAGAATAAATTTTCTGTACCTCTTGCAAAGATTATTTGAATTGGTATTTTAAATTTTCAGCTACTGTAACTTTCCATGGTTCCAAGTAAATTCAATGGAGAAATGCTGAAAGATGCCAGATTTTCAACCCTTAGCTGTCAGGCTTTTAGCACAGGGGAAAAGGTAAATAGAGTGAGACTGTGGAGGTGCAGTTCATTATAGACGTTGGGGTCTGAAGAGTTAAACTTCAGAGAAGGTTAAATGTTACTTTAACTTTTTCTATACCCCTTAAATTTTCCTTCTTGAATTGGCTGTATCCTAATAATAACAACTATCCTTCTGTATTCAAAAGAAAATTTGTTTCAAAATGCAAGTGGACTTGTTTGCCTTTAGATAAAGGAGAGGTTCTTTCATGTGATAAATTTTTGGTTTTGAAAATTCAGTTTCTTGTTCTGCTTCTGAAAAGTCGGGAGTGTTGTGCTTTACTTATGTAACCTGTGTTTAAAAACAAATAAATTAAACCTGCTGCAGAGCAGAGTGGGCTGAAGATGCCTATCTGGGTAATACCAGTAAAAAATTTACTCCAGATCCTGCTTTTCAGGTTATTTGGGTTGAAAAGGTGTTCTAAATTAAAATATCTTCTATTTTGCTCTCTGAGCCACCATCTTCCTCATCTCTGGCAGGCTCCAGCATCAGACAAGATCCCTTCTTTTTGTTTCTGTCTTTTACCTCATCCTAAGCTGCTCTTGCTCCTTCCAGCTTCATTTCTGACCTTTCACAGATTCCACTTGCTTAAGGCAAACATGAGGAGGGAGGCTAGCCCATTCTGATCAAAAGACTATTGACCCTGATCATACAAAAAAGGTGCCTATGAAAGCCTTTAAATAAACTAACCTGTTTATTATTGAAGACTTTTCAGTTTACCTTAACTAAGTTGTCTGTTTATTCGCTCCATCCTAAAATTTAGGCTCATGAGTTACACACAAAGATGTGCCTTCTCTTTTTCTTTTTCCTTTTTTTTTTTTTTTAATTTAATGGCTGTCCTTAAAAATATTTATAACTATTTTAGGAAAAAACATATTATCCAAAGTACTACAATGTAATAGCTGTTAGTTAAACTGGTAAAACTTGAAAATCAGAAGTGAAATGCAGTTTTGAAGATGGAATATTCTTGTTTTTTCAGGATGCTTGCCAATCTTACCCTTTTGAGATTCTTATAGTAGGTCTCTTGATAAATTGATTTTGTGAATGTCTGAATTTAATTGGAATGACCGTATATAAGTGTCCATATTATATTAACCCCTAATCAGGCATATCTTTCTGTGACCCGAAAGTGCTGTCATACTTGAAGAAAAAATATCCTGCTTTGTACACACACATATATATGTTTATATATATGAGTAAACACCCAGCTGGCTATGTTTTAGGAGTAAGAATTTTCAGCATTTATGAAGGGAAAACGTGTGGTTGCTGTGGTTATCGATACATAGGCCCCTTAGTTTGAATAATGGATGAAAATGTAGAAAATGTAAGTTAATTCTCAGATACTCCTTCCCTAAGCTTCTTCTATTATATTCAGTCTGAAAGTCATCTGAGAGGTATATTGAAAATACTTTTGACTTCATGGCAGCAGCAAGTATAATTGTGGTTCATGAAACTTCTGGCTAAAGCTAGAAGAAATCAAGTTGCTATGGTCTACAACAATGGCAGTTTGTTTTTGTGAGATGCCAGCAAAGACTTTTGGGGGAGCTGTGAGACATTTTATTTCTAAGTTACAGAGTGCAACCTAAAACAGGCCACATACTGTAAAAAAAGCCTCACAGCTGAAT